TGAGAATAATGTTGATAACATACTAATGTTTTAGTTGTTGCTAAGCAGTCAAGGACTTTTCAGCTTCTCATACTGGCCTGCCAACAAGAAGGCTGGAGGTGCACAAGAGACAGAGAGGGGGCACAGCCAAGACAACTAACATAAGCTGGCCAAAGGGGTATTCCATACCATATGATGTCATGCTCACTATATAAACTGGGGTGAGTTGGCTGGGGTGCAGCCACTGCTCGAGGACTGGCTGGGCATTGGTTGGTGGTGAGCAATTGTTCTTCATTTGCATCACTTGTTTTTCTTGGGTTTTATTTCTCTTTTTGTTATTTTCCTTTTCATGACATTCTTCATCATCATCATCATTCTTATTATATTTTATTTCAATTATTAAAGTGTTCTTATCTCATCCCACAAGTGTTCTCACTTTTACTCTTCTGATTCTCTCCCCCATCCCATCGCGGAGGGGTGAGCAAGCAGCTTTGTGGTGCTTAGTTGCTGGCTGGGGCTAAGCCACAAGGTGCACTGATGGAAAAACATGGGCAAGTTTAACATCTGCTGTGTTCATTTTACTGTTCCCTGCATAAATGGAGTTCAGTCTTTAGGGCTGTGATAACTTTGAAAGTAAGTCAAAAAGTAGATGAGTAAATTTCTTTCCCCCTCCTCAAAACAAAGCAATTTAAATGCCTCCAATGCTCATTTTCAGTCATTCTCATGGCTGTACAAATAAAACGTTGCAATTCCTACTTGTTTAAGAAATTGCTTTTCCTGTTTTGATATAGATGTAATAGTTTGCTACCTGATGGTGGATGCAGGGTAGCCAAAGGCTCCCCTGGCTTTGCTTGTTCAAGCTTGAATCCCAAGTGATGGTGGTGCCTAGTGGCATAGCAGAGCACTTGGAAGTGTATGCCATCACAACTGTAATCTTATGAAAATCAGAAGGATGTAGGCATGTACCAGAATTACTAACCACAGAGATTCGAAAATCATGGGTGAGGCTGCAAAAAACCAAGACAAAAACAATCCACCTTCCTATAAATCTGTCACAGAAATGATGGGATTGTCAGGGCAGTGACAACACACAGACCACACCACACCCCCCCTTTTAGATTGTCTCTATTTAACTTACAGATTTTTAACTTGAGAATTCAGTCCTTCAGCTTTCCCTGTACAGTTGTGAGAGAAAGAGTTTTTTGATTCTGTTGAAAGATGAAATTAGGTTGTAATTTGCACGCTTTGCCATGCTTGAGCAGTTGAGCCCGTAAAGAGGGTACAAAGTATCCTTTTTTTCTTAGTCTCAGTAAAGTCATAAGTATTGATGATGATTTTTAAATTAAGTGTGCACCATTTGATTGCTGAACTATATCCTTAAAATCACAACCAGGTGAAATATTCAGAGTAGGAAATCCAAGAGCACTGAGCTAACAAGATAAAAACATTTGAACAGGTCCTTGAAGTGCGCTACTGAATATGGATGCAGACGGCTTTAATGAATATTTCATCTAGGGGACCTTACTAATTAAGATGTGTCTCCAATGAAACTTGAAAAACTACTGTTGTGCTTTTTAAAATTTAACCCTATGTCACCTTTGTTAAACTATCTCTACGTAGATTGGCTTCTGTGTTTTCTGGCATGGGTAAGGGAGGAACAATGGATAAAGGCTCCATTATCTTTTCCCTGTATTGTTCAAAGCTTAAGAGAGAGGGTTTGGCATTCTTTATGTGAAACTGGTGTTTATTTCAGGAACTTACTGTGTTGGATTTGAATATTCTGTTTTCAGTCATATCAATACTTGTATAATTATCACCATGTAGGGCTGACATTTTTTAAGTATGTAACTATTTGGACAAAATGTAGAAAAAATCAAAAGCATTGCATTACATTTTCATCTTCATAGGAAAACTGTTTTCTGTCTGAAGTACAGAAATGGCCAGGTTCAAAACCTGAAGAGGGGCATTAAAGAAACGTATTATAAATATCTATGTAAGCATTTATTGGTATTTAACTGCATTGCTAGCCTTAGAATATGTGTTGTGGCTTTAGCGCCCTTGAGGCTAAATTTTGGATGAAGCTCATCCAAAACCCATAGGTTTTTGGTCATATCACTTACATGAAACTCTGTAGGGACTTGCATGATACATAGGCTTTCTTGTTGCCTCCTGGATGGGATGAATGTGTCTCTCTCCCTGCATCCATACATTTTGCAGCTGGTTTTTGTGAAGTTTGTGAAGTGGAGACTAAAATCCATAACATTTAGTGCAGACTGGAAAAAAAGCAATGTCAGATCTCTTTTTGTTGTGCAGAGCGCTGTGGTCATGAGTTAAATCAAGTTCGCTGTCATTTTACTTACTGATCTTGTTGCTGTTGTGGTTATCATCATTTCTGTCACTGTCATCCTTAGGAGCTCCAAATGTGGGTTGTTACTGCATTGTTCTAGGTGCAGAACTAAGAACCTTTGAAAGCTTATATGAAGGATGTGAGAAGAACGACACTGACACCAGGAGAGAGAAGAGTACAGCCGAAATGTGGAACAGACTTGTTTGGAGTGATTGCTGTAGTCTCTGGCAGTCAAAGAGTTTTTAGGTTGTTGTAACTATCAGGGCATAGGTGGGGCTTTGAAGAAGGCAGATATTTATAGTGAATATCTTGCAAGTGAAAGCATAGGGAATTTCCTGAGACTGTCTGTGCTCATTCCTGCTCCATCATGGAGACTGCGGTCCAGAAAGGAAGAAAACTGAAGCAATTATTTCTGTTGTGGAAAGCAGGTTGCTTACGGATTTGTGAGCTAATTCTCTAATGGCCCTCTGCGACCCACTGTGAGACACGGAGTTAGGAACCGGTTAAAATAATGCCCTTGAGGATCCAACAGCACAGATAGCTAGCCTGAGGCTTCACAGCAGCTGCAGGGGTTATTGCAGCCTCGAGGCTGCAGTGGCTGCCACAGTCTCTGTTGCAGAGCTACTCTGTCCAGGGACCAAAATTCCACCTACATTAGGTAATTTTTCCCCAACAGAGTGAGTGTTGACAACAAGTTTTAGCCCTAAAACGTGTCCTTTTGGCTTCCCAGTTGATTAGGCGTATATGTCGTGTGAAGACTAGATTATTGATCCAAACTTGTTTTCTTTGAAAGAGAAAATGACATATTCCGCTAGAATATTAAAACTAAGACAACAAATGGCACATCAGAAAATTACATTTAATAGCTGACAACACAAAAGGGAGGTTTTGCTATATTTAAGGGAAAGATCTCTTGCCTAGTGGATGAAGGGAAGGCAATGGATATAGTTTTTCTTATTTTAGTAATGCTTCCAACCTGGACAAGTTGTCCAACTGTGGGATGAGCAGGTTCACGGTGCGCTAGGTGAAGAACTGGCTGAAGGGCAGAGCTCCAAGGGCTGTAGTGAATGGGGCTACATCTGCCTGGCCACTGGTCACCAGCATTGTTCCTCAAGGTTCAATCCCAGGGCCAGTTCTGTTCAAATATATTCATCAACGTTCTAGATGCAGGAGTTGAAGGCACCATTAGCAAGTTTGCTGATGATGCCAAACTGGGAGGGGCTGTTGACTCTCTTGAGGGAACGGAGGCCTTGCAGCGGGGTCTAGATAGATTTGGAGAGAGAGATTGGAGCATTGGGCTATGATTAATGAGATGAAATTTAACAAGAACAAATGCTGGATTCTGCACCTAGGGTGGAGTAATGCCAGGCACAAGTATAAATCGGGAGAGGAGTGGCTGGAGAGCAGCCCTGCAGAAAGGGGTCTGGGGGTGCTGGTTGACAGCAGGCTCAACCTGAGTCAGCAATGTGCCCTGGCAGCCAAGAGCGCAAACCGCATCCTGGGGAGCATCAAACACAGCATAGCCAGACGGTCAAAAGAGGTGATCATCCCGCTGTATTCAGTGTTGGTGCGGCCTCACCTTGAGTGTTGTGTGCAGTTCTGGGCCCCACAATTTCCGAAGGATGTCAGGGTCCCTGAATGCGTCCAGAGGAGGGCAACAGTGCTGGTGAAAGGGTTGGAAGACATGTCCTGTGAGGAATGGCTGAGGACATTGGGTTTGTCTAGTTTGGAGAAAAGGAGGCTGAGGGGTGACCTCATTGCTCTCTACAGCTTCCTGAGGAGGTGAAGTGAGAAGGAGGTGCTGGTCCCTTCTCTCTGGTATTCAGTCACAGGACACATGGGAATGGCTCAAAGCTGCACCAAGGGAGGTTCCGACGACATTTAGGAAGCACTTCTTTACCGAGAGGGTGGTCAAAGACTGGAACAGGCTTCCTAGAGAAGTGGTCGATGCCCCATGCCTGTCAGTGTTTAAGAGGCATTTGGACAATGCCCTTAATAACATGCTTTAACTTTTGGTCAGCCCTGAAGGGGTCAGGTGGTTGGACTAGATGATTGTTGTAAGTCCCTTCCAACTGAAACTATTTTATTCTAGTCTATCTTTTGATTACGAGAAATACAATGGCATACTTTTCTATTTATCTTGAACATATTGAAGGAGAGGGAAGATCTTAGGTTGTCTAAGTCAGCATTTACGTGATAGTTCATGATTAGATTTCTGATCACAGACTTACATTTAGGCCAAGGGGATGGAAATGTGCTCTGCTGTCTTCTTGCCCACACATCCTTTTCTGACTTTCATATTTACCTCAGACTGCAGCAACTATAGCAGACTTGTGTCTCATGCCACTGCAAAGGATTAGCAGGACTTGTACCCCTGATGAAGAGATTCTATTAAAAAACAAAAGGTTTCTGCTATTTTAATAGTAATAACAGAATACTAAATTATAAACCAACCTGACTATCTCTACTACTGGTGCTGTTGTACCTTCTGTTTCTTTACTGCTGATATCATTGTATTTGAGTTTTATTTAATTCCTTATAGCTGCTTTTAAAAACGAAATAACTGTAGAATACAAGAATGGTTGTATGACCAGTTAATGAGATTTCTTTCTGACAACACAGAAGTTTAACAAAAGTTTTCATGATAAAGAAATTGTTTTCTGTTTCTTTTCAGGTACCATGATCAACAGGATGTTACTAGCAACTTCCTTGGAGCAATGTGGTTGATTTCAATAACTTTTCTATCCATTGGATATGGTGACATGGTACCTAATACATACTGTGGGAAGGGAGTCTGTTTACTCACTGGAATCATGGTGAGTGTTTCTGAATGTATTAACTGGATACGAGATTAAGTTTGCTGCAATTAATCCCAAAACTCGTCGTAGCCATAAAGAAATATTTATTTGGTGGCTTGTAGAGTATATATACTTGCTCACACCATTTCCATGGTATTTCATTGCTGGTAATGGAATAGAGTGTTTTCTTCTTCTTTAGGTAAAATTCAGAAGCTGTGTAATGAAATACAGAGAAACAAATTCCACCCTGACGTAATTTGCAGCTTCAAAATCTCAATAGAGTCTTTCATTAAATGTTAAGGTATCATATAATCTCAATTTATCTTTGGACTTGTGTAATTGGACCAGTACTAATAATTAATCTACAGTTCTGACTTTTGTTTCTTAAAATTAAGTTACTCACAAAGAAATGTGATGGTGGCTGATCTAAACCATTTTCCTTGAGCACAGTTTTCTACATTATCTAAGTCTAATAACATACTATCCATAGCATTCTGTTGCTTTAAGTGGATTTATATAGTGCAATTTTCACTGTGAGAGTTTTTGTTACCATTGATACAATGCAGCAATTGTAGTCCATGCATATTCAGTATATATTTATTAGCTGTACTGAACGTCTGGTTTTAATTTTTCTGTATTGCACCATTTGGTCAAAGTTAGGCAGGGAGTAAGGCAATGTATTATAATGTCTGGGAAATTTATGCATATCTACAGTAAATTAGAAGTAAAAAAGCTCCAGACTCTGCCACTTTTATTTGTATCAACTTCTGTGTAAATGTCCCTGTGAATGAGAAGGGCAGAATGAACATCATGTATACTGTAGATAACAGTAAGATACATACTTGTTTCTGAATTTTTGCCATTGATCATAAGTAATGCAGCTCCAATATCTACCTTCTGTTAAAACAGGTATATTGGGATTATGGCTGAAAACAAATGGGATCGATTAGTTGCCCCTTTTGAACATATGTTTTGGCAAAATTTTTGTTTATAAGAGCGTATTTTGTGTCCAAAGAGTAAAACAGATCAATATATTTTTGTAATGTTTAAGCTTTTTTTCCAAATGCCTTTTTTTTTTTCTTTTAAACATCTAACAGGTTTCAGGTCATTGGCCTTTATTGAGAAAGACTTCCAGTATATTTTGCCGGTGGTGGCAAATGCATGTGTCCTTAAATACAGGGTTTGCAATGTAGTTGGAGGTACAGGCTGAAAGCAGAGAATGACTCAGAAAGGTTTTTTTAAAGGATGTTGGCTAAGCTCAAATCTGCCATCTTCTGGGGTATTTGCCTTTGCTCCTCTTTCTGAGCTGGATTTTGATGCCAGAGAGAATAAAACGTGGTCATAAGTTCATTAGGAACAAAGGAGGACAAGCAGTATATATTGCCACAGGGATGTGCAGAATGCAGACAGAACCCTGTTACACAGCTTTCCTTCTTCCCAGGCACTGTTCAGAAATAAGAAGCAAATATTTGAAGACGCAGGTATCAGATCATGTTGTTCACTCAAATTGTTCAGCACTTTCTGGCATTTCATTATGAAAAAAAGTTACAGTAACAGAAATCTAGGACCTTCAAAGCCCTGCAGAAGTGTGATGAGAACAGTAGTACTGATATTAATCATCTATGGGTTTCACACTGCTACTGTGTTTATGCTAGTGCAAATGATAGCAGCATCTGGACTGTTATTTTGAATAGCTGTGGGTAGCCTTATGATTTTATTATGATGAAAACAAGGTGAAAATAAAATCAGAAAAACAGACTCCAGATTATTGCAAATATTATTCTAAACACCTGTGAATGAACCACACAGAAGCTGAAATTGTAAGATTTATTTCTCATTTTGCTTATGACAGCACCATTTGGCTTCAGATGTAAAATTATTTATGGCAGTTGCTTCTGTTGCTTTGGTGAAAAACTAAAGTACTGACGAATACAAACCATTTGCACACACAACATGTATTTTTCACAACTGTAACAAGATTCCATTGAAAATTAGGCTTGTAAAATGTATGGATGATACTCATCTTCATGTCTTTGATTGTTTTTATGATTAAAAATTCTGCAGCTGCTTTGAAAGCATGAAGGCTCCGATCAGAATCTCATGGTAACGAGTTTGGGTTAAAAACCTCCAGAGGCAGAAAGCATTCTTAACCAAAAACCAAGCCAGGTAGCTAATATGTGATGATAGGTAAAACAATACCGAAAGCATGACCCCTAATTACACTTTTAAGGACTCCGCAATATGGCTTTGGCAAACATCATCTTTGAGAAAAAAAATATGGAGCAATGGGAGAAAGTCAGATGTTGAAATTACTCTTTTATTTCTTTTTTTTTTTGTAAAGGTTCTGAAAGATATGAAGTATGAAACAGTGAACAAAATAATGAACTATCTTCCAGCCTAACCTGCAGTACCACAAAGTTTATAGATCTTGAGTATAATTCTTTAAAACCAGCTACTCTTCTGAAACTTGTATAGTAACTAATTAATGTTCATTGTGGAAAAGATACAATCCTAAAAGAACAGACTGACAGATTTTTATTTCAATAGGAGTGGTTGATGGTCTAGTTGAAAGACACACCAGGATACTTGCTGAATGAATATACAAACCGTGTATGTGATTTTAAGAGCAAAAATGTGATTCCCTAGCATCCAAAGTAGCAAATGCGTTGTTGGATTAGTGTGATCAATACCAAATACCACTGAGTTTTTGCTTTTGGATAAGGTCCTGTTAAAAAGGTCGGAAGGGAGAATAGAAATACTTGTGAATACAAGAGTAGTTACACAAACCACTGAAGAGTTAATATTGGCTTTGCAAAACTGGTGGCCCGTGGAGGGCTCCTTTGGTGCCTTGACCCCAGTGAAGGGAGAGCCCAGGTGCCCTGATTGTCCTCCCTCTTCTGCCTCAGGAATTGCTTTGTGTGTGATGACAGTTGTACGGCTCAGGCTGAACGCTGCATTGTGCTCCAGCACGGGAAGTAGTAGACTTTATGAAGTCTGCTGATGGCACCAAGTCGTGATGGCTATTGCAACTGCAGCTACTGCTCTCTTGAGACACTGGCTCAAGTGACATCTTTTAAATTCTGCAGATGCATACTGCTGGAAAATAGGAAAATCTTTACTCATATTCAGATTATACCAAATTAGGAAAAAAGCCTTGGGAATTGTTAAGTAAGCCAGCAAAGAAGTCTGATTAATGTATTAGAAAAATTAAAAAAAACCAAAACAACAAACCTGTGAACAAAGAAGGCAAATACTGAAAAAATATGCACTGTCATATTGAACAATTTACTTTTTGATCTTGCAAAGCACTTAAATATATGAAACCTTAGTGAAAATATTGACAGAGTGTAATACAGTGTTGGTGGCATGGGTTAATGCAGAGATGCTTTACAGACAGGTAAATGAAACTGAACTGGGCACCTCAACTCGATTACCTATCAGTGTTTTTCCAATTTCACTAGGCAGCAGTAGTAGACTATGGGCCAGGTGGACTATAAATCAGATAGCAAATGTGTCCTCTGCTATCTGTATACATTAGGTAGATCTGCAAGAACATGATGGATGGATAGAAATATGAGTGCTGTCAGTGTTACCAGAACATGATATAGAGGAGATGGGGAGACCTATGTCATTTTCACCATGCCATGCAGCTCTTTGGAGTGTTGTCTGCCCACTGAAGATGCCATCCATGGTTGTCAGTGCACATGGAAGCAGATCTCTCAGATCGTGGTCAGCAGGCTGAGCTCAGCTACAGGTGGAGCACTTTGTGCTGGTGCTAAGTGGAACTGCTTATATAGGCAACACTTCTACCTCCTTAATGGCTTTTTGGAGTTAGGGTCTTGGAGTGGTTTGCCAAATTTTCCTTGCTTTATGAGGAGTATAATGAAGTTAACAAAATTTAAAGAAGGAAAGTAGAAATTGATGGAAGTAAAAGGAGGGGGCAAGTGTGAGAAGATACAGGAAGATGCATAATTATTGACTGTGAGAAGGGTAATTTTTGCAGATCTTTGTAAGCTTTTGTACCTATGCAAGATAAAATAATGGCAATCCATTCTTCTGACGCCAAATACAAGGATCTGTTGCAAGGCTTGAGAAGGACTTTTTTCCTTTTACATCCAGCATTATGTGGTGAGCTAGTGCATTTATTGTATAATGCAAACCTAAGGATGCAGAATCTTCCTGCAGAGCCAACTGCCAACAGTTAGAAGCGGACATGCAGAACTAGTAGGTCAAACCTATGTTGCTACAATAAAAGGCATGAGTTGCAATTGTCCTGTCACAGGATGTACAGGGTGGTTGGCTATAGCTTGGATGAAGATTGCTTTAAATGAAATAGCTGTTACTTCAGAGTGTCTGTCTCCCTAATGCTGAAAGTGCAGCTTAAATGCTTCTGTTATTCAAATGAACTCCAAAGACATTGTTAAGCCTGTGAAAGAACCAAATAAATTAGGAAAGTTTTCTTACATTTATATCATAGAGGTGGACAAGATTAGATGTTTCCTTCGGAAAATTTTTAAGTAACATCTTTTAACTGCAGGATTTGAACACCACTCGTAGGTGGAGAATTCTTTATCAGAGTAGTCGCAATGCAGTCAATGTGTACAATCTGGCCTTAGCGATACCAGTTTTTATTTGTTCTAAATTGTGAATCAAAAATTAATCAGATCTGATTTCAGAGGTTCTTGTGCTGCAGCTTTTAATGTCCTTGCGGAAGTCTGCATTTAGTTCAAAAGAATCACAATTCCTTTCCTATGCATCATGAAAAAAGTAATGAGGATGAGGTGTTTCTGAGAATAGGGGACTCTTCATCTAAGATTAAATTGCGATGTTTGTGCATACAGTTTTATCTCAGACTCAGACTGGTCTTACCAACAAATACAGAGAGCTATCTAAAAGAGGAACATGGCACCTAGAGTAGTATAGTTTTTAACCATATGATTTTTGTTGGTAGCAAAATCTGAACTGTAGTATCTTTGAAATTTAATAGTTACTAGATTGTAAGAAAAAGAGAAAAAAAG